TGTGCATACACAAGATGGATGGCATGCCATAGACTAGAGCTTATTAGTGTTGCTGTGCAGCTCCCAGGTGTAACTGAGCAGACGCTTCTTTCTCCTCTCACAGTCAACAGTCCCTCGATAACTGAAGCTTACTAAGTAGCGGCTCCAAAGCTCATTAGCATAAATAAGTTACTTAATGAGACTGATTTAGGCAGTCAGCCACAGTCCGTCTGTTCCTACTTCATAAAACTGGTCCTCTTCCATTTCCCTTTATTTTGTCCGCTTCTATCCTACGCCGCTAACTGGCTCAGACACGGTTGCCAAGGCGCTGGCACCGACACGACAAGAGATAAGCTTTCAATTAAAAGGCATTAATGAGAGACACTTAACGAGATGCAGGACGATTCTCTAATTGTTTTTTTCCGTGGAGAGAAAAGCACAGAACCTGTGTCGGGGTGAGGGTGTTCTATTTGATGTGTCAAAGAAACCCCAGGTCTGAGCAAACTGTCCCTGATTGATATCTTACATTGAAACCGAGAGGTCTACTTGTGACATTTAGCTAATTAAAATGCACTGTTGTAATATAATCCAAATGAATGAAATGAGATGAGCAAGCGGTGGGGAAGAGATGTGTATGGAAGAATATTCTGCTGTGATCCAGGTATTGAAGAATTGTCAATTTCCTCTTGTACTTGTTTTCATTGAATTACAGTCTTTTCCTTATATATTATATAACACGTGAAATGGGGCAGATGTTCTCCTTATTTCCTACTTTGATCTGACTTTCTGTACCTGCATTTATGATAATATGTTATGCATCTTGTTCTGCAGTTTTCTCCCCGACAGCACGGCCAAGTCTTTAATCTCTGCTTGTCATCTCGCCATATTTTCCACTCCTTCTGTTGTTTGTTAGCGATAAGGTGTCTGGCTGCTTTACATCTCGCTCCCTCCAATATCAGTCTGTCTTTCCCACCTCTGTCCTTGTTTCTCCCTTTATTATATTTGATCTCTTATTGTGTTTTCACATCACATCCTGGTGTTGGAGCGGTTTAAAGGTCCCCTAGTATACTGTTTTTCATCAATATATTATAGCTCTCAGATATATACAGAACCTGTCTCTGAAGTGTTTGGCTCCAAATACCAAACAGATCATTGCAGCATCCCATAATCCCCTCTGTTTCGGGGGGCGGGGGGCGGGGGTTACCTTGGTTTGTGATTGGCAAATGGTTACACAATCGTTATGACATCATAAAGTGGCCAAAATCTGATCAGCTCATTTTCAGACAGGTTTTTATAGAAATGGATCAAAAAGAGAGAGAATCTTTTTTCCTGAAACTTTCAGAGTCTCTTTCCACAGAGGGGACACATGTTGATGTAGAAGAGACATGAAGAAGAGGGGACACATGTTGATGTAGAAGAGACATGAAGAAGAGGGGACACATGTTGATGTAGAAGAGACATGAAGAAGAGGGGACACATGTTGATGTAGAAGAGACATGGAGAAGAGGGGACACATGTTGATGTAGCAGAGACATGAAGAAGAGGGGACACATGTTGATGTAGAAGAGACATGAAGAAGAGGGGACACATGTTGATGTAGAAGAGACATGAAGAAGAGGGGACACATGTTGATGTAGAAGAGACATGAAGAAGAGGGGACACATGATGATGTAGAAGAGACATGAAGAAGTGTATATTGCATTATAGGTGACCTTTAAATGAACTAAATGAAATTTAAACCTGGCGACAGGAGATGAGTTGTGATAAGAAAGCAGACAGTTCCTGTGTCTCCCCCCTCGAGGCATAGCGCCCCTCCAGAGAAGCACCACTGACCCCCCCCCTGCACTCCGGACCTCCTCATCCTCATTCCTCTTGTCAGATCCAGTGACCTGAATAATCCAGATTGCTCCCAGACATCCTCCGGTTTACCTCGGCGCCCTGCTGAGGAAGTAACAACACCCTCCACCCCTTTACACCCCCAAACGTCCCACAAGCCATCAAGGACAAATAGCCAGAAAAGTCAAAATAACCAAGTACCAAATCATTCTAATTGAAAACCATGTTAATGAAACTACGTCACATTCAAACCCCTGATTTCCAATGTTTTGGGTCTGGATTTGCTTTAGCCTTGCATTAAAAGGTGTTGTGTGTATATATATATATAAAGTGCCTTGCCTTTCATGCAATAAAGAGATTTCAGACAGCTGAGCTAAAGCTAATTGCTAGTTCCTAACGAAAGCATTACCGTATTTCGGATAAACAGCCTCCACTGTGAGGACGTGATGAGGCTGCTATTTAATTACTCGTTGATGCCACTTTGAATTGAGTTCAATTAACAAACTATTAAACAGATAACTAGAAGTGGTATTACAAGAACAGCTAGTCCGTTAGCATGCTAATTTCTTATCTCTGTTGCATAAGACATCTTCAACACAGCAACGTCTTCAGGTTGTGTTTATGATGTTATCTCCTTTTTTAATTTTCATACACTTACATTTAAGCAAATATTACACATTGGGCCTTGAAAGAATGTTAATTTAATTGTACAAAAATACTAATCTCCCAGATGAATCACTTAAAACTCTAGATTTTCCACCAGGATTGACTTTTTTTAGGGTGACAGAAATTCAAAACTTCATTAATACACTCTAAGGGTCTCTAAAATAATAGCATGACACACGTTATAGCCCACAAATAAGTACAAATAAAGATATTGGATATAGAGAGATATGTAAAAAACCTTGTGGATCTATTTCTTGTGTTTTTTCACCATAAACGGAGCAAGGCTAGTTGTTTCCCAGTGCCTTTAACTTCCTTAATCCGTATTTAACTCGTAGACATCTCAATCTGTGTTGAACTTTCCCTTTTGAAAGAGCCACATTGAATCAGTGGCATATTCAGATAGTGAGGGCAGGAGTGTGAAGCAGGCGGACAGACGGGGCGCAGTGAGCGTCAATTTAATGTGAAGTTAAATCTGTTTGCAGGCCCTGTGGCAGTGCTGGTTACGCACCAATAAAATATCACCAGGTGGACAGAGAGCCACAATGGATTGAAATAAGTGGCCGTCACCCTGAGGTGGTGGCTGTGTCTAATTTAATATACTCGCACCACAGTAGCCGGCCTGGTTTAGGGGGACAAAGTCTGTGTGGTTTATAATACACGGCCACTTCAGTGACTGGAAGAAACCGTCAACACAAGATCTGTTTCTAGGGGTGGGGGAAATAATCGATACAGCATAGTATCGCGACTTTGCGTGGCGATATTGTATCGATACAAGGACGCCAAGTATTGATATTATTCAATTATATAACTATTCATATTGAAAATTAGCTTATTGGCAAAGCTACCATCAAATTCTGAGCGAGCTAATAAAATAACTCAATCAATCACCTACTTCGTCAAAGTCAACTTTATTGTCGATCTCAAAATATGTTTGTACACACAGAAAGATCAAAATACTGTTTCCCACAGTCCGGAGGTATACAAAAACACACATTAAAATACAAGCACAAGAACACTCAATAATTACAAAAACACCCACAAAATAACCGTTTACTTCAAGTAAGCAGGATATATATATAAAAAAGCATGATGTGCAAATGAGAGTGAAAAAATGTCCATAGCAGCGTAAAAGTGACTGGTGCTGGATTTTTTGTATTTGTCATGTGCGTCGATACAGCGTTGTGGAAAACGCAGGCTTTTGTCACATGTTAAAGACACTGGAACCCAATATATCATCGCAATAGTATCGTATGGTGGGGAGCCTGGTGATTCCCACCCTTACTGTTTACCCACTACACGGGAACCATTTGTATTATACATTATCTTTTTCACAAGACATTCTCTGCTTTCTTCTGCTCCGCTGTGTGGCCGCCTGTCAGAGCGTTTGTAGTTGATATGTGTCCTTCCTGCAGGGCTCAGTAACCACACTGTGGCTCACGGGATGAGGAAGTCATTCAATGTGTTGCTTGTTAAAGTGAAGGTGTGATAGCCGCTGTATGTGAATATAAAACGGCCCCATTTTCTTTTTTTTTGTCACTACAGATGGCTTACCACATTTTTATGACTATTTATATGCTACAGCAATGGTTCCTATAGGTTTTAACTGGTTGAAGCCAGTTTTTAAACCAATTTGAGAGGTCAAGATTCATCGATGATAGGAAGGTGTTGCATTTTTCAAATGATCTAACATGGTATTCATTATTCAAACCCTTAAACTAAATTATTGTTTGCATTTCAGAGCCCATGCACAGAGTTGTCGTAGTTCTGTTATAGCTGGTGAAAAACGTCTTGGGTTTCTTGCATTTTCTTCGATTTATCGATAACATTAAGCAAGTTGAAAAACGGTTTGAACATCTTCATCAAACTGACACTTTTAGCCAGGTTTCAACCCAAATATCACTAAATTGTTCATCAAATCTTCAAAGAAAAAGCAAGTAAATGTGTGCTACCATTCCCTTCCATCCCCTAATGTTATGTGAATACTGGGAATTTGTTAAACTTCTGCATTTGTTCGTGTCTAAATGGTTTTTCTCAACTGTCAAAACTCTTGCAAGACTCTTGCAAGTCTTCAGGGAGCCAATTTTGCAAGAGTTTCCCCCAAAAAGTTTTACAAACACAGAGTTAAAATCGAGACACGATCCTGCTTCTGCTGCGATCACATCTCAAAATGTCCACTGTGAAAAGACCCAATTAAATACTCAATTTCATGCAGTCTCCTCAATGGAATATTAATGTGTGACTAAAGCAACACACCAACATCCTCTATGTGTGTATGTTACGGAGAGAAAATGGCAGATATAATCAGCCTCAGTGTGTTGGTTGTTGGCCTTTCTCTATCCCCCCTGGAGAAGGGGTACTAAATGCCGTAACTGACCTCTCTCCTCATTAAACGCTCTGCTGCGCTCTCATCCTGACCTCTCATCCTGACCTCTCATCCTGACCTCTCATCCTGACCTCTCATCCTGACCTCTCATCCTGACCTCTCATCCTGACCTCTCATCGCCTCTCCTCTCCTGCAGGAATCGGGGGGAACCTGGTAGCGATCCAGGCCAGCAGGTTCTCCACTCACCTGCACTTCCACTGTGCTCCTGGAGAGGTTCCTGAAGAGGCCAAGGGCTGCTACTACCCCTGCCGCACCTTCTGGGGAAAAGGTCAGTACCGTGTAGTGCTGCACGATTAATCGAAAAAAGATCGTGATCTCGATTCAGACACCTATGCGATCTCATTTCTAAATTACGGCGATCCTATGACGTCGTGCTGATTTATTATTTTTTTATTTTATTATTTTGCTTCTGAATAATACCAACTTGCAATGTCAATCATACTTAAACGATGTAAAGCAAATATACTCTATACATTTAACATTAAAGTACCATGATCGCATGCAAATGGTAGTGTCTGTCTGTCTCTCCTCCTCTCATGCAGTGTTCACGCTGCAGCCACTAGTGTTGCCAGTTTTTGCGAAAGGAATAAGCAACCAGGTCTATGAAAACAAGCGCAAAAGAACATGAGCACTTTAAACCTATATATGTCGGGTCGGCTATTTGAAAATCTACAAGCTCACAACCATTATTACTTACTACCAAGCAACTTTACAGAAAAATAAGCCCAATGTGGTTTATAATAAGTATACCTGGCAACACTCACTGACTGCAGCACGTGAGGGCAGGAGCCGGCAGTATGTTTACAGAAGCGTTAGCATTAGCACTGATTAGCAAACAGTGACGAGAGCGACTAGTAGTACAAGAAATGAGTGACACATAAATGAGTGACGAGGAGGTCGAGGACAATGACAACAACACCGATGAAAATCCCGGTGGCGACTCTGGCAAGAGTGAGAGGGAAGTTGTGCTTGTGCCGAAAAAAGTAGATGGACTGTGCTAGTAGCTAGGCAGCTAGGCTTTATTTACATTTATTCTGAAGCTGTAACTTTATGTTCTGCTCCGTTTTTATATTCAGTACTGACTGCAGTATTTAAGTTAATCCTTTTGATTCAGTGACATTACTACTCAGTGGAGTCTAGCACTTTGTTTAAGTTTATGTTTTTTTCAGTACAAGAACCTTTAAGTGCAGTAGTTGAACTGGGTGCTAGCCGGCTAGGCTTTTTTAAAATATTATTATTCTAAAGCTGTGACTGTTTTGTTTTTATATTCAGCACTGTGGTGAGGTATTTTGAGTAACTTAAGTGCATTCCTCCCTGTAACAAACAGGTTGGTGTTGTTGTACAGTAGTTGGGTGTCCTGTCACTGTGGACAGGTGCTACTGCAAAGTTTACATTTTGTTATTATAAAGCTGCAAAAATTCTATTTTTTATGTTCAGCACTCAGGCAGCAGCAATATCTTTATTTTAGTTACTGTATGTTTTGTTACCAGAGAGACTTGAGTTTAAGTCAAGCACTTTGTTTAAAGCCACAGTAGTTGGCTGTCAAATTCATTTTAGTTACTCTATGTTTTTGCTACAAGAAACTGAGACTTGGATTTAAGTCAAGCACTTTGATGTTGATGGTGTCTGTTTAAAGCCACAATAGTTGGCTCCAGGTGCCACATTTTGAATGTAGTAATGTTTGTTCAGTATTCAGCAACTACAGACTAAAGACAAAGTTATGTTTTTGTTACAAGAGAGACAAATGTTGTCTGTTTAAATTCATTGTACTCACGTGACGTCTAAGAGTAAGAGTGCAATAAATATTTTCATTGAAGCGATGAGAATCGTGTGAGAATCGTGATTCACATTTGAGCAAGAATCGTTCAGCACTAGTACCGTGCACACAATATACTGAGCTTTTCATTAAAGCCCTCGTCACACTGTCCCGAAATTGACACCCGATGGACACACGATAAAGGAAATGTTCAAATTCGGCTGTGATCGTAGCAACATCGGGCCATTCGTGAGGGCATCTTAAGCCATCGTATGACCGCCGGTGGAGTTTCTCAGGCTCCGGCAGCAACTTCGTGAGCGGCAACTTCGTAAGGCACTCGTGAGGGCATCTTGTCAAATCGTGTCATCTTCGTGTTATCATCGGTGCATTCACCCTCACTCTGATCGGGGCGAATGCCCGATGGCACCGATGAGAACAAGATGCCCTAACGATGGCCTTACGAAGGGCACAATTGACACACGAATTCAACACGAAAATGAACCTTCGCAAGGTCCTTCGGCTATTTTCTGGCATGCCAAAGATTTTGCCACCGCTCACGAAGTTGCTGCCGGAGCCTGAGAAACTCCACCAGCGGTCATACGAAGGCTTAAGATGCCCTCACGAATGGCCCGATGTTGCTACGATCACAGCCGAATTTGAACATTTCCTTTATCGTGTGTCCATCGGGTTGTTTTATTGCACAACAAAATCATGTAAATATATTATGTAAATAACCCAATTTGTGTTCTGTGAAACTAAAAAGGATATAATATATTATTTTGAAGGACAGTTGACAGGAAGTTGTTGTTGTTATGGAAACAACATTACGGAGAAAACGTAATATTTTCTACATATAACGACGGATAAAGTAAAGAACAAAGTCTGAAGATATCAGTACAGTATCATAGTACTGTAACATAATTATTTGTGTTACTTTCATTGCAGATGTAAATGTAAATGTAATGTAAATGTTGCCTTCGTGTGTGTGGTTCGGGGCCATCTTCGTGCGAAATTCACAATTCCATATTCGTGTGTCCATCGGGTGTCAATTTCGGGACAGTGTGACAGGGGCTTAAAGCACACGTTGGTTAGGCATAACAGTATAACTCCACTATGATAGATGTGAGGTCCTTACAGTATATACATTTGTAATACTGATCAGCTGATTGCTAATGATTAACCTTCACACATAGGATCATAAGTGCATTCAAATTCTGTGTACAAGAGTGTTACAAGAACATTTTGGAAACCTCTCCATAACTCTAGTTCTGTTTCTGCCATCATGTTTGCTTCCTGGATGGTTACCCACATTTATTTAATATTTATTTATCACATTTTTTCATTTGTTTTTCTTTATGTTTTCCCATTCATCGTCCTTATTCTTGTACAGGTGTATTTTTTTTTTATGGCACTCCTATGACGTCTGGATTTCAATTTCTGAATTGAAAACGCTGTCAGGAATTTAATAAGTCTTTACATTGTTAAAGAATTAAGATCTTGAAATCTTAAATTGTGAAGTCAGTTCACAGTCTGAAAAATCCTTCTTCTTACTTTCTGTTATTTTCATACTTGGAAACAAACAGAAACAAGTCCGAATATAATAAATTGAATCCAGTAATCAGTAAAGAACGTTGTTAAAAACGAGTGTTGTAATTGAGGTAAACACGATAATTACGAGGTAATTGATTAACCTTTTTATTTTCCCAGGAGCCAATCACCGCTCTGCTCAGGTGCTGCTCCTATTGGTGGTCCCGGGTCACCTGATCTTCCTCTACACCATCCACCTGATGAAGAGCGGACACACCACGCTGACGCCCATCTTCATGTCCGTCTACCTGGCTGCTGCTCTGCTGCAGGTGAGCACGTCACGAGTATACCTGAGCTTTAATATGTGAGCGGCAGCTGGTTAGATATTCTAAAAATAGTCTGCTTTACATTTCCTGGTCATTATTCCACATTGAAGTATTGAAGCTCTATGTCACAGTCTATCTTCTGTCCATATAACATTTTTGGTATTTGACATTTATGCTGCTTTAAAGAGGGTTTTCAACTTCATGATGATTGTCACTCCAAAGAAAAATACATTAGGGAAAAAGCAGACCCCTCCACTTTTGTTAAAGCTGCACACATCAATAATTTAATGTAGTATTGCAGTGATTCTCAAACGTTTTTCAATAAAAAAATGCAGCCATGTACCCCCTGATCAGCGCAAAAACAATTTGTTAGGGAAGAAATGCCTATATAAAGAGGTACGGTGCTGCACCATCTGTGTCTGATTTATTAAAACAACAACATTGTAACTGAGAAACACTTAAATGCTACATTTCAAATGTTTAGAATCCATCACTAAATTCATGGCAAACCAATTTTAACATCAATAACACTAAGGCGACATTAGTTGCATTGAACTGATCTTTTTAATAAGTTGTACAATGTAGTGAAACATGGGCTTGAGCTTCACTGAGGACCTTTGTCATTCTGACAGGAAGGCCACTGCAGTTATTACACTTCGCGTTTTGAAACATGTGAAACTCTGTTCATATAAAACCCACTCTGCTCAAACTCCCTTACTTTTCCTGAAATTGGTATTTTTTTCTCATTAACATAAAATAAATCTCACGTACCCCCTGCAGTACTCCAACGTACCCCTAGGGGTCCGCATCCCCCATTTGAGAACCGCTGTAATAATGAACTCACAGAGAATGATTCCACGACTCTACAAGAGATATTTGAGTGTATTTTAACTTATTGTTTTATTTTTCTGGTTTGCAAACGTTGTGTTATTCCAGTAATATTATTATTATTATTTTGTTTTACTTGCTTGTAAGCGCTTTGAGCACCAGGAAAAGCGCTTTATAAATGAGATTAGAATCTTTAATGACCACACAGCCAGGCTGGTGGAATTCGTGTTCAGTGCAGAGTAGTACAGCTTGTTCCATACAATAAACAGACAATACAAAGTACAACACACAGCACAGGGCAAAGACATATAACATAAAGTTCAAGGTGTGGTGGATTGTTATTGTTCATTGGGGTTATTTAGAGTCCATTTAGTGTCCGTATTGCAAAGGGGAAAAAGCTGTTTTTGAAGCGGGCGGTTTTGGCGGACAGTGACCTGTAGCGCCCCCCTGAGGGCAGAAGTTGGAAGACATGGTGACCTGGGTGGGAGGGGTCAGACATGATTTTCTTTGCCCTTGTGACAGTTCGTTGGTGGTGAAGTGATTCGAGTGATTGAAATAATGTAATGTATGTAATAAATGTAATGTATTATTATTATTACGGCTCTCGTGATGGAGGGGCAACAAAAACATTTCAAATGATCGTCATTCTGAAATGTTGTGTTTTCAGCTCTGTTGAACCCAAGTGGCTAAAAACATGTTAATGCAGCTTTAAGTAGTTCATGTCTTAATTATTGTATATACAGATATCCACGTTATTTGAGTTACTGTCTGAAGACTTTCAGCTAGTACATCTTTTGAATGTTTGTTATTATGTGTACTAGATTTTCCTCATCAACTCATATCTAATATTAATAATGCTGCTTTTTCAGCCAAGACACACACATCAGGATTTCCTGCATTTATTATAACATGTTACATCTTAATTGGCTGGTGAGGCTATGCTCATGAGATGTTTCTGAATAAATCAGAGCTAGTGTGACACAGACTGTCCCTGATATCACAGCAGAGGGGGATAAGATGTGACGAAAGTGTTTGGAATATATTACTTAAAATGACTTCCAAGTCAGCTATTTGAGCACAAGAGAAGAAAGTATATTTATGATTTGTTTGGGCATGTTGCTTGTGCATAAAACAATTTTACCCTGCGTTACTTTCCATAATCTGTGACTACAGGTTTGCATTATGACCTTTAGCGAGTTCATTTGTGTATCTGCAGCGTATCCTACCTGCACTGTGGATTTCTGCTTTTATTCAGAAGAAGCTACATTATTTTCTTGTCAGTGAGTCAATTCCTGTCAAAGATCAATTTGTGTTTTCTATAATGCTTGTGGCAAATGAGGAGATGCATGTGAGTGAATTCTTTGAGTGTTGTGGTTTCAGGAAATGCTTGAGGGAATCTGACTGCTTAATGTTGTTTGTTTGGCAGCATTTAAAGGTAGGGTAGGTAAGAATGGAGACACCAGCTCGAGTGCGCTAGAATTTGAAAGTACACAACCCAAAAAATCTGCCCCTTCCTTCAGACTTCCTTACAGAGCCCCTCCTCCAACACACACGAACGCGCACATGACCAATGAGGGCACGAGATAAGTTTGTGCACAGATGGAAGGCTAACAGGCAGGTAGGCCATCCAGTTACTTTAGCCGGGCCGGCTCAGAGGATTGGTCGTGCTTTTTACAGCGCCACGGCTTCCACAGATATATTTGTATATAATTATCAAAGCATTTAATGTATTCATTGCTATCGGGATGTTGAGAGCATTCCATGGAATATAACAAAAAGTGTTTCTGAAGTGAATTACCTACCCCCCCCTTTAATATTATAATGAAGAAACAACATGCGGATAATGAATGACTAACAGGTGCACTCTGATCTGTGATGGATTCCAAGAATTTAGTACTTTTGTGTGAATATATTGGATGCATGCTTTGCTCGAAAGCTTTTTAAGGCTCCTCTAAATCCTAAATGCAGACTAACGCGTTGGAAACTCTCCAGATCAATTAACTCCATCGACAGTGGAGCTGCTTTAAAGGCTGATCGAGTGCCAGATAGCACATCAAATGGCAGAGACTGGCACCTGGAGAAGTGAGGATGAAAAGTGTTTTAACATCTTCATACTCACCAGCTAAAGAGAGGAAATGGATCTAATTATCGATCGGATTCGAGAACCTCAAACACCTCTTTGCTTTTTAAATACTCCACTGGCTTCACAAGCTGCGTGTCGGAATAATTCATGAACTGCTCCGTCGATCTGTCTGTGGGGGATTGTGTGAATATGAATGATGGTTTCTGCACGGAGCAGCAAGGTTATTATTGGAAGGATTATTTACTGAAAATATGTTTTAGTGCTGTTCCTGTCCACAGCGGTACACACTCCGAGCCATAACTCCTCTCTGCTCCTCTGAACTGGGGGAGGGTCATCTCCTCTAGGTTTCTCTTTTGTTATCATGCTTGAAAAGTGTTTTTAAGCACCAGGAAAAGCCACACTACAGACACGTATCTAGTTATCTCGGTTTATATATACAAATGAAGTTAGCCCTAGTGAGTAAATCACCTTTATACTCACTTTCGTACACTACCTATTAGGGGTGGGGGGAATAATCGATACAGCATAGTATCGCGATAAGTTAAGACATGTATACAATTGCAATGAAAGTAACTAAAACAATGCCATCCCCTTTTCAGGTTCTGAACACAAATTGGGTTATTTACATAATCTATTCATATTGCAAATACATTTTTTTAACCACGAGGGGAAGACGGACATGTGATTTGCAATATATCGTATCGCAATACTTAGCATGTCGTAGAATCGCAATACTATCGTATCGTGGCTTAAGTGTCGTGATAGTATCGTATCGTGGGGAGCCTGGTGATTCCCACCCCTACTATCTATTGATCCTGCATCAGATACTTGCTCTTTTCAGGAGAAATGGTAGCAATTCTGACCTTTTACAGTCCCAAGAACAAAGGGTTTTTACTACTTTCACTGCATTACCTTTTTCAACACAGAACTGGAGCCATATATTTCCTTTTATTGTCTTGCAAAAGCTACTCACTTCAAAAACAGCAGTTGCAGTTGGTGCCGTAACTCCTGCATTTCTATTGTAGATCCACTAATCATTGAATGTGGAAAAACATCAAACAACCCTGCTAAAGCTGTGTGTGTGTGTTTAGAACAACTTTTATTAAAAAAAAAGATAGATTTAATCTTTTTAAAATAAGCAAAAATGTTTTAAGGCAAGTTCATTTATATAGCACCTTTCAACACAAGGTCAGTCAAAGTGCTTTACAAAAATGAAAGACGTTAAGAAAATGGCATTTCAAAACAGTCATTAAAAAGCAAAGATAATAAAATAAACATTACTGTAGAAGAAAAAAACACGTGAATAAAAGTTACAGTGCATTTTAAGATATGAATAGTTCAATTAAAAGCAGCGACAAAAAATGTAACCAATATTCTAGTCTTGAAAAATGGTCATGCAGAGGCAGGCTTTAATAAGTGCATTATAATAACTAATAAAGAGACAATTACTAATTCAGGAATCCAATTAAGTGTGTGTGTGTGTGTGTGTGTGTGTGTGTGTGTGTGTGTGTGTGTGTGTGTGTGTGTGTGTGTGTGTGTGTGTGTGTGTGTGTGTGTTGTGTGTGTGTGTGTGTGTGTGTGTGTGTGTGTGTGTGTGTGTGTGTGTGTGTGTGTGTGTGTGTGTGTGTGTGTGTGTGTGTGTGTGTGTGTGTGTGTGGACTCGCCCAGGGGAATCATTAATTTTAGGGTGAAGACTTGGTTAGGGTTAGGCATGTGTTGGTTAAGGTTAGGATAAGTCTCCAGGAAATGCATGTAAGTCAATGTAATGTCCCCTGAAGTGATGTATACATGGTGTGTGTGTGTGTGTGTGTATAAACATTGTGCCGCTCATCATCTTGCCTCGAATTAACACACAAGCTCGACATTTTGAAGTGTGAAAAACGAGGGGACGGTCTGCTTCAAATAGTGATTTATAATCTCTGACCTCATGGAGAACATTTGTTTTTAATGATTTTCCATTTCTGGGATAGATTGTTTGCCGTAAGAGAGAAATCAAAGAGGCTCGGATGAATGAAGAAGACAGCACTAGTATTTATGGCTGTCAAAAACCTCCGTCAGCGCCCTCCAAAGACCCCGACGTGGTGTATTACTG